AATGAGTAACCCAAATTTAACAAACTCCGATAACAAAAATATCCCATTACGAAAAACTCCTTTTCTGCTTCCAATTAATTAATAGATACAAAACAAAACAAAAAATCGCACCACTTGATACAATATTTTTTCATATTTCATTCTAGATCAGTATTCTGTAACCTAATCCTGAGGTGAAACAAATTACACAAAACCCACCAAATATTTTAAGTAAAAACAAGAACTCATGAGAAACTTAAATTTCTCTTCCAATCACCAGAAACATAAAATAAAAGTCAATTCGATTTAGCTAGTGCGAGCTCAAAAGCAATGGTCAAAAAAAAAACTAAATCATAACAAATTTTATTCGGCCAATGGAATAATCTATGTGAACGATGGAAATAAGGATGAGTCTAATTCTAAGAGTTCTATGCCCATATAGCCATCACAGACATTCCTCCAGCACCTATAAAGACAAAAACAAAAGCAAATGCCTGAAGTTTTATGTTTCCTTGCAATTTTGGTCCGAAGAAATCATGAGCCAAGAGATCAACAAGGGCCGTGTAGATCAATAATCCCGCGGAACATGCGTTCAAGACCCCGACTACGATCAATGCGGTTGGGCTTGTCTCGTCATATGTCTTTTGTATTCCCATCCCTAAAGAAATCCCAAACGGTGTTGTGATCGCGAAAAAGAACGCCATTATCAATCTTATTTTAACTCCATATTCGGCCTATAATTAAAAACAAAAAAAACTTTAGATTGCTTGTTTGACTATCAAATTTGGTATATATAGCGATGGATTTAGCGACTAACTTACTTGTAGAATGCAACCACCGAGTCCCATTCCTTCGAAGAACTGATGGAAACAAAGCGCCAAGATAAGTGATCGAATGGTACATTGGTTATCCGAAGCTCCCATCCCAAGACCAATCACGACCGAGTGAACTACAATGCCTAATTCCAACACCTACAACATATTTATCATTTTAATAGATTAATGAGGATATATATTAAACATCTTTTTATTGATGAACTAAAAATGCGATCAAAATCTATGACACTTAACAAAAAAAAAGAATACAAATTATATATAAATTACCTGAGCAATGACTTTCTTTCTTAGAAGTTGACTTGTCTCATCTTGTTTCTCCACAACATTAGATCCATTTTCTAGGGTTTCGACGTCCAAAGAATTAGATCCATTTTGAATGGGTTTGACTTCTCCCTCTCGATTCCTAGTTATCACACTCATGAAAAAGGCATCAACCATTAACGTAAACAAAGCCGAAACCATCGCGATCAAAGTAGTGAAAGGAAACTTCCTCCACGGATCTTCGGGCAAACATTTAGAGCTGAGATCATTGAAAGAGTCCGGTAACACGTGCATAAAACCAGTAGCCAAAATTACACCCGAAGCTAAAGCCTTAGCGATCACAAACACATTTCCCTCGGGATTTAAACCAGGAATATAACTTGAAAACAATGGTAAGCTAATGCCGATCATGCTCGCCACTAAGATCGATAGGATTGCTATGATTTTAAGCTTGTGTGCTACTTTGTTGTTGCGGCATGATGAATCTCCGAGTTCAGCTTTGCATTCGCTAACGTCCGCGTTCTCGGCGTTACCGGCAAGAGAAGTTAATGTGAAGGAGAGAAGGAGAATTGTAATGGTGAAGTGTTTGTAATAAGCTTTAGAAGAAGCCATTGATAAAGAAAGTTCTCAGGGTTTTTTTTGTTTGAAATGGAGGCTTTAGGAGAAAGCTTTAATTTATAAGATTGTAACAAATCTTAGTTTACTAGTTTCCTCGATTTCAAGTTTTACTTAGGTCTTTAAATGACAAAAATGCCCTCGTGTTTTGGAAGAGGAAATGGGTTTTTGTTTGTGGTAAAGTGTAAATAGACGATAAATGAAGGGTAGTATTGGTACTTTATAGTATTAACAGCGTATGTTTGTCGTATGCTGTCTCAGTCGGTTCGTACGCGTTTTTACTACAAAGCGTAGACTAGAGGAGCTTTTTTATGACGTGGTAAAAGTAAAACGCCACGTGGAAAATTTCATGAAATATAAAATCTAATTTTGGTGAAACAGTTTAATAATATAGGATCTGTTTCAGAATGGGAGAAATTAAAAATTAAAAATCTGCTTTAGAAACCATTATCTCCATCATAGATGAATATCTGTCAAGACAGTCTAATTTATAGTGGTATAATATATATATACTCTTCATAATTTTACAAAAATATTGATGACTTAGATTTTTTAACATTTATCAATAAAATATTTAAATACCATATATATCACTTTAAATCATTTATTATGTCTTTTAAAATGAGGATCACTATCACTAAACAATAATGATTATAGAATAAGAGAAAAATATTAAAAGTATTATGCAGATACTTGTCAAATAAAAAATTAAGCATAAAATCTTGATATTCATTAAGAGAGATCCAACAACTTTCCTAAAAATTTTCAATGTTAAATTATTTGTTAATAAAATCATGAGACCAAAAATATGTACTTGGAAAGAAATATAAAAAAGAAAATATAAACATTAATG